TTATTAAAAATAATTATTTTTTATCTAAAAATTTATGATGAATTTCTATTATTAAAAATGAAAATGTGAATAGTTAAAATTTTGTATAAATATAATATATAAAACTTATTTATAAGTAAATTTCTTCTTATATATTAAATATATTTTACATATTTTTGTGATATTAAAAAACTAAAAAATTTATAATTACAGCTACATACTAGTATTGTTAAAATAAACTTAAATGTCACCAACGATCTAAATAATTTAATAGTCATTTTTTTCCATTAAAAGTAAGAGATATTAAGTTCGAATCACATGATATACAGGTAGAGTGAGATAAGGGATAGAAGAAGGTTGTCTTCTATTATACAACCAAATTATAAAAAAAAAAAAAAAAAAAAAGCCCTAAATGTCTTTGAATCAGCTTAGAGCGACTAAATTCCTCACATAATGACAAAGCAAGGAGTAAATCCCCTTAGGTTAGGCACTGAAACGATTAACTTATATGTCGTTTTGAATGTTCAATCTGCAATGAGTTTAAGCCAATGGGTTTCGGCCTTTTGGGTTTTTGATTTGAATTTCAAATTATACCATTCTCATTTAAGCCCAGCTCATACAAAAAAAAAAAACCCCGAAAAAACTACGTCGTACTGAAGACTGGAACAAAGGTTATATATCAAACTCAGAGCTCCGAATCTCGAACCGTACCGGAGATGCTATCTTTGAACATCTCCTGTGACTTCTTAGCAGACTCCAAGGTCTCCCCAGCTTTGTTCTTCATCTCATCGTACCCTTCTTTCGCTTTCTCCTAGGCCCAATTCAGCTGCTCCACCGTCTCTACCCGCTTCTCCCCCGCTTTGTGGCTCGTTGTGTCGTACCCTTCTTTGGCCTTCTCTTTGGCCCAATTGAGTTGCTCCGCCGCCTCTCCTTTCTCAGTTTTCATTTCGTCCTTGGCGGTCTCTTTTGCTTCTTCAGCTTTCTGCGATGCTTTGTCCTTTGTCATTCCGGCCATGTGACTAACCTTGTCAGTTGCTTCATTACCCATTTCTTTTGCCTTCTCTTTGGCAGCTTCTGTCATCTCTCCGGCCTTCCCCATTGCTGAATTTTTCATCTCTTTTGCCTTCTCTGTCGCTGCATTTGCCTTGTCTCCGGCCTTCTCTGCACCATATTGACCAGCTCCTGCCCATATTCGATCCAACAAAATAGTAAATAGATGTAATGGAGATCTTTTTTCGAACGCAGACTAACTGCTATTCAATATGAAATTGGGGTATATATGTAAGTTAATACAAACCGGAAGCGGTGTCCTTAATGGTGTCTTTAGTTTTGGTAGCAGTTTGAGCCGCGGAATTGGAAGCTCTAGAAGCAGCATCCTTGATCACGTCTTTCGTCTTTGAAGCAGTGTCAGCGGTGAAATTGGAAGCTTTCTTCGTCGTGTGAGCTGCTGAATCGGAAGCTGACTTAGCAGTATTAGCTGCTGCGTCGGAAGCTCTAGAAGTGGCGTCCTTGATCACATCTTTGGTCTTGGAAGCAGTGTCGGCCCCAGAATCGGAAGCTTTCTTGGCTGTCTGCGCTGCTGAATCGGAAGCTGACTTAGCAGTGGTAGCAGCGGAACCGTAAGTTTTCTTAGCAGCATCCTTTACAACGTCGTCGTGCTTGAGGCCTTGTCCTTTGGAGATCTTCTCCTTAGCCCATTCAGTCCACGACTCCGTAGCTTCTTTTGCCTCTTTCCCTGTCTCCCACGCCTTGTCCTTGGCTCTCTCTGTCTTTTCCTTCGCCTCACTGAACTCAAAATCTTCTACTTTCCTCGACGGTGTATGGCCGATGCTCGTGCTACTAACATCCACCGCAAGCACCGCCACTATCACCAGTACCAAAATAAATGCCCAAGAAGTTTTCTTGGAAGCCATGGATGCAAAACTGTAGAAACTGAGGATTGATTTTGTTGCAATTTGAAGTGTTTGTGTTTAGAAGATATGATTGTATGGCGGGTAGAGATGGTAATTTTCCCCAATTTTTGTGGGGTCGGTAGGATCTCCGGGACGAAACAGGAAGGAATATTCTTCCTCACGGGACAAGATGTGGAGTATTTTTTTCTTGTGAAATTTTGTGAGGAATTTTCTCCATTTCGTGGGGTTCTGCGAGAATTCCATCTTCGCAAAAATTAAAATAAATATAAATTAATTTTATTTTAAATTTAATTCATCTTTCAAACTCGAACTCAAACACAAACTCAAACTCAAGTTCAAACTTAATTTAATCAAAATTAAACTTAACCCAATTTTATTCAACCCAACCCAACCCAATCCATAAAAATTAACCCAATTATTCCCCTACTTACATTTAACCTTAACTCTAATTCATTTCTTAATTTTCATTTTCACCTTCCCCTCCATTGTTGGTTTAATTTTTGCTTATGTTTTAGTTTAGTTTGGATTAATCTTTGTTTATGTTTGGAATAAATTTGTTAATTGTTAGTTTTGTTATTTATGTTGAATTGATTTTTATTTATATTTAGATAATTTATATTTAAAAATTTTAGTTAATTGTATTTAAATTTTTAAAATTTTATTCATTATAATTGAATATTTATTAATTATATGTAAAAAATAAAAAAATTTATAATTTAATATTAATTAATGAGGAATGAAAATTCCCGCAAGGATTCTTATTCTCCACAAGAATCCTCATTCTCATCATTCACAAAGACAAAAACAAAGAGAAACTCCCCGATCCCACGAGACCTGTTGACATTCCTAATGACAGGGGGAAGGCAGCGGCGTAGAGATATTTAAAAAGGGGGAAGGGAAGTTGGTATAGAGGAATGAATAAAACGGCATGTCCTGCCACGTGGCAAACTGCAACTTCATGGGACGGCCACGTTTCTGAGTTGGCATCCCACGTGTCAACCTCGGAGCATGGACTAATCGTATTGGGACACTTATGAACTTGGAAGGAAGTTTGATCAATTACCTGTTGGTCTGATTGAAAAGAATTTGGTTTTTCTTAAGTAATATCTTGAGTTAAAGTTTTGTGAATGAAAAAATAAATGTTGAGAGAGTTTTCTCTTTAATGAGATTTGACGTAACTTGATTTTAAATTAGTTGAGATACAATATGGTTATTAGATACCAAAATGATAATATATATATATATATATATATATAAAAGGAACTTTGACAAGGAAGTGGGATTGTCCGATGTATACATGGATGGCCGCTTTAGTACATTCTTATGGTAGAACGGTTGTGGTTATTACCATAAAAAGGAACGTTAAAGTTAGACAAATTGTAAATTTTTTTTTAATAGTTAGTTATGATATTTAAAAACATAAATTTATATATTAATTTTAATATGTTAAATAATTATTATTTTATTAACTTATAATTACAATTATTCATTGTTTTTAACAATTATATTGGTTAAAATCAATGTTTTTAAAGAAAATATTTAAAAATTTTGTGTAACCATGCCTAATTTCTTAGAATTTTCTTATTGAAATGTTGATAGAGGAATTCAGACTCATACATTTAGTAAAATTCATATTATACTCAAAAAAGAAAAGGAAACAATTAAAAGGACAACTTAACTATCTTTCCGTTTATTTTAAATAATACTATTATATAGCATATGAATAATAACTGAATTTTTTTAATTAAATGAAATTACTCAACAACAACTCTTTATTGATACAAAAAATTTTCAATTATCAATTATGTCCTATACAACATTATTAATTAAAGTTACATGCAAAAGTAGTTGAGAATTTGCATGGACAAATAATTAGGAATAAAAGACCAACGATCTCTTGATTTGAGTGAAAGAAGTTCATTTCCTCTTAAATAAGATCTCAAGTTTGAGTCTTATGAACAAAAAAACAGACATTAAGAGAACTTTCTTCTCGTGAGGTCTAATGCGACTCAATTTCAGATTCAATGTAGTTATCAGATATCTAGAGATTAATAAAAAAATTAATAAGGAGCAAAGGGAGTGATTTACATTTTCTATTTTACAAGGGATGAGAAGATTGGTTACTGCCCAATGAGCAGCAGCACAAGAAGTAACTTCTAAAACAAATTAGACCTTACTAGTCTTCTTTTGAATTTGGTTCCGTAGACTAAAGGAAACAAAAAACGATCCATACTTTATGAAAAGGAATGGGGTCTCGCTGACCGCACCTTTTCTGACCATTTTCAGTGGTCAGATGTGTTAACAATTCAAAACAAATTGGATCATCTTCAATGTCAATCCTGTTTTCAAATGAAGAATGTTGTTAAAACGTTAGCTACATATATATACAAAAAATGCAAGCCAACTTATGAGGAAGAAATAAGATGAACGAAAATCCAACTTTGCTTCCATAGAGTAGTACATCACAGAAACAAGGAAAAATGTTTTTTGAGTGAACATGACGGTAATGCTAGTGGATGTAAGGCATATGTGCGCTGCATATAATAATAACAAAGAATATTACAATGCCATACAATTTCAGGCACATCCAACACATGTTGAAAAATGACAACAACATATCAGCTCTAATTCAATGTTAGAATTCAAAAAGCCTACAGACAAGCAGGAGAAAAGCTGGACATATCCCAGAAAGATTAATCCAGAAACCCAACTTCACAATCTAGTCTAGCTATAGATAAATGCATTTCACCTCAGTTATGGTTGAAGAGAATAATTTTTTGTTCTTATTTTATTAGTTATAGATCAATGGAGAAATTATTATCTTCAATTGAGAGAAGTGATGGGACTAGAAGATGCAACAGCAATGTACTCCCAGAGGGGAGATACGAGAATATTACCTTAGTCAATCTTAAGACTGATTAATGTGGATACATACCATTTGACATGATAATCTGGCACTTAGAGCAACCCTAAGATTTATTATTTGATTTGCTTCTTTCTTTTTTGGACTACAACATATTAAACAGGGTACAATATGAAATGCATTTTCACCCCATAAAAATAATGTCAAGTCTGTTTATGCAATCGCCAGCATATTGTATATTGTTTCCACAAATAGATTTGACAAACATTTTTCCAAGGAGAAGAAGCCTAACAAAGCACCATGTTCAGTGTCATAGGTAAATCTTAGAACATGTTAACAGAACTTTAACATAAACCTAAACATAAAATCCCATGGATAGTAAACAAAACATTAAAAGGAAAAAAATACCATTGCTCATTAAAAATCCAAAAGGCAGGGCAAAGACCTAACATGCACAAGCCAAGATAGCCAACAAAAAGTATCAAAATTTATCAACTGAAAAGCATCAGAAGCCCACTTACCCTCTGTCTCAACATCTTCACTATGATTCTTTGCAAGTCTTCTTGTTATGGCCAAGGCCCTTGCACTTGCTACATTGCAGCTGCCGCTTCATCATATCTATGGATTCAGTTGGCTTCACCTTTGGCCGACCAGGTGGCTGCTTGGTGGAGGAGTCACAATTACTGTTAAATGAGCTGATTCATCCTGGTCTGGAAGGTCTACATTTGGGACAGGGTGAATTGATTCAGCATATGTTAGGCAGTAACTCTCTGTTGTGAGGTATTTAGAGAAATAATCATTTGGATTTCTGCCAGTGCATTCAAGGACAGCAATAGCATGGCAGCAAGGTAAACCAGTAAGTTGCCACCCCTTGCAGCTACAGTCCCAAAGATCAATATCAACAACCTCAACAGATTCTTCCCAAACTTCAAATATGTTACCTTCTGTAAGTAGCACTTGAAGCAAGTGTGCTACTGCATCCTTCTGCAATTTTTCCTCATTAGATGGAGTTAACTTTGTCATTCATTGAGTGGAATCTATTCTGCATTCATGGATAGACTCCATCATCTTTTTCTGCAGGACATCAATCATCTGTGTTATAGGCAACTCACTTGCCTCTGATACCCAACTATAGAATGGTTGCCCAAAGTTTGAGGTTGTGTGATTATACCTTGCTCCCCCAAAAAATGCATTTGCCCAGTGCTCTGGTTTGCTTTGTATGACCAAGTTGTAAGCATCAGAAGAAATACCTTTTATGTTATCAACTGCATACTGAAAACCTTCATGCCTGTGTACATGAGCAGCAGAATAAAAGTCACTGCTCAAGAACCACCTAGCTTCATGAGAAAACTGCCCTTACAGCTCTCTATTAAGTTTCTCAGCTAGATGGTGTAAACAATAGCTGTGGTAGCATTTATCAAATACCTTAGCCAATGCCTTCTCTAAACCATTCTGAATATCTGCAATAAATGTAATTTGGCTAGACATAGATACCACAGATTTCAGTTCCTGCAAAAACCAGTGCCAATTGTCATCATCCTCAGCATCTACTCAGCAAATGCCAATGGAAAAATACCATCATCAGCATCTGCAACAGTTGCAGACAACAAATTCCCTTGGTATTTAGAGTTCAAAGGAGTGCTTTCAAGGAAAATGAGAGGTCGGTAACCTCGTTGGAAACCAGACATTGACGCATGGAATGAGACAAATAGACGAAGGAAGCTTGAGTCATCCATTGTGGTAAATGTGGAAATACTTCCAGGATTTGTCTCCTTTATCTTCTCACAGAAAAATGGTACAGGAGCATACGCCTCTTTGAAGGAGCCCTGAAGCTGCTCCCTAGCAATCTCTTTTGCCCTCCATGCCTGAGAATAATTCAGTGGAATTCCATATTCACATGATGTCTTCCGCAATATCTTTTGGCTTGTAGTTTGGGGAAGTTTTCAGTTTCTCCTTTATAATACTTCCAACCCAACCCCTTGTTGACTGATACCCAGCTTTCACGGCAGCTCCTTTACATGTATGTTTTGAGTTCATTTTCTTGATACGGATTAATTGAGTAGTTGCCACTGTTGATGCATATATCTGCCATGGACAACCTTGAGCCTTGCATTTGACAGTCACACAAAGATTGTCATTTTTCTTATATCTGTATGGAAATCCATGTGCAATTGAGTACCTATGAAGAGCTTCTTGGAATTCATTGAAACTACCAAGCCTTTGGTTGACACCATTTATGGTGTTCTACTAATTTTCTGCTGTTTTAAATAGCTTCTTCCCGTGGATATTAATGGGAGTGCATGTTATGGGAGTTTCATTTTGCATGTCAATATCACCCTGGTCAATGACATTGGCCGTTTCAATGGCAACATCAACTGGATTAATGAGGATCTGCATTATCTGACAAAGTTATTCTGCTTGACCTGCACAACTAAGCGTCAATAGGAATTACACCAAAACAAAATTAGGATACCTATGACTAGTAAAACGTACATGGCTCATAGGAACAACTAAGAGCCTATCACAATGCACAGCTTGGTAGACAGAGGAATATTGTCCATGTTAGTAACTGAGGAAAACAGAGAGAAACTTGGCTTTACATAAAGAACGATAGTAAGGTTTTGACCTCTATTCCATGGTGCAAGCTTCCACAAATGTGGATTAAACTTAATATAATCTAAGAAAGATGGTTGACAGTAGAGTAACTACCTGCTTGTAGGCATGATGGGCAAGATGGACATGTTACGAGCAGCAACTTCCTCTGACATGATGAAAACATCTACACTGCAATAATCACCAATAAAATCAATCATCCGCTGTAAATCCTTCTCCTTACAGATGGTGATAAGTGTCCTTTTGTTACCAGGGAGAAAGTACTTGAGAAGAATGTTATCCTCGCTACAATTAAACGTCTCTGCAACTTCAGACTTGAAAATTGAAATCACTCAAGTTTGTTTCTTCATTAACATCTACTGCATAAGCCTCGCCGCCATTATACAACAACGACCCATCTCTATTGGTGACAAACTCACCCCCTGACTGACATATTGCTATAACTCTCTTTGCAGCCATGGCCTAGCACCTACCTACATAACAAATTCAATTACAAACTACCACTAAAAACAGCATAAGACAAATTCAGAAGGAATGGAACTTTCTGCGGGCCAAAACAGCGTGAAACCACAATAACCGGATCTCCATCCTGAGATTAAGAACAGCAATGGCGTTTCTCGAATATCATTCAAAAAACCTAACAACGAAGAGGGTATGTCGAGATTGAGGAAAAACAAGGATTCCGAAGGGAAAGATGGTACCTTTTTAAAGGAGCGCGAAACAAAAGCAAGAAAATTTGGAGCTGAGCGTGAAGAGGAGGAAGGGAAGGTGGTTGGCGGCTGGCGCTTCCACTCACAACCAAAAGCCTTAGGAATCTGGGCCGCACCGTATCGTTATGGATGATTTGGCGGTTAGTCCACGTATATTCTCCACGTGACTGCATTCATGTACTTACCGGTTCTGCAGCCGTTGATCTTTTTGGCTTTGATCCCTCCGTTACATTTTAGTTTGTAGGCCCTTTGGGTTGTTGTTTTGATGACCTAGAGTCCTCCTCCCAGGGAACACCCTAATACCGTCTTTAAAATTTTTATAATTTAGCTGTGTAGTCATTGAGAGAGTTTTTGTCATTAAATTAAGAAGAAATTGGATGGGTTTGTTTCATCAGATTAAAAGAAAAAGATTGGTGTCCTTAATTGCAAAGTTGGACAACTTCATGTCCTTAATTCCCTATTTTGCCATTAACAAAAATTTTGAAGAAGCAAGACAAAGCACCGTGATCAACAAGCTGTGGCAGAAATTTAAACCTAGAGGCTAGAGCTAACAATAAAATTCCATGCATAGAAGTAATAAACATCCAGTAATAATAATTATTATAATAATAAGAATAACCGGGGCGCAAGTAAAACCCTCAAAGGCATGGAAAAATCCTACAACACATGGACAAAGCCTAGATAAGCAACTAAAAGTATCAAAGTTCAGACAACTGGTCAATGCTGATGACTAGGGGACCTACTTTCACTGTTCATCTGTTCCAACACTTTCACTTGATTGAGTTGATTCTTTGCAAGTCCTTTTGTTATGGCCAAGGCCCTTGCACTTGCTACATTGGAGCTTCAGTTTTGTCATGTCTATGGACTCAGTTGGCTTTGACTTTGACCGACCTTGTTGGGACTTAGCTGGTGGTGGAGTCACAATTATTGCTGGTTCAGCAGATTCATCTGGGTCTGGCAGGTCTACATTTGGGACGGGGTAAATTGACTCTGCATATGTTAAGCGGTAACTCTCAGTTGTGAAGTATCTGGAGCAGAAATCATATGGGCTCTTACCAATGCATTCACAGACAGCAATAGCATGGCAGCATGGTAGACCAGTTAGTTGCCACCCCTTGCAGCTACAGTCCCAATGATCAATATCAACAACATAAACGGATTCCCCACGAACTTCAAATACATTACCCTGTGTAAGTAATACCTGAAATGAGCGTGCAACTGCAGTTTCCATTTGCAACTTCTCCTCATTAGATGGGGTTAATTTTGTTGTCCATTGACCAGCTTCTATTCGGTGCTTGTAGATAGACTCCATCAATTTACCTCGTAGGACATCAATCATCTGTGTTATGGGCAACTCTCCTGCCTCTGACACCCAACTATAGAACGGATGCCCAAAGTTTGAGCTGGTGTGACTATACCTTGCTCCCCCGAAGAATGCACTTGCCCAGTGCTCTGGCTCACTTTGTATGACCCAGTCGTAAGCATCAGAGGAGATAGCTTTTATGTTCTCAGTAGCTTGCTTAAATCCATCAAGTGTGAGTGCATTAGCAGCAGAATAAAAGTCACTGATCAATAAACGCCGTGCTTCATGAGAAAACTGCCCTTTCAACTCCCTAATAAGTTGCTCAGCAAGATGACGCAGACAATAGCTATGGTGGCTTTGATCAAATATCTCAGCCAATGCCTTCTTTAAACCATGTTGAAAGTCTGAAATAAATGTAATTTGGCTTGATATAGATGCTGCAGATTTTAGTTCCTGCAAAAACCAACGCCAGTTTTCTTCATCCTCAGCATCTACTATGGCAAATGCCACAGGAAAAATACCATCCTGAGCATCTGCAGCGGTTGCAGACAACAAATTTGCTTGGTATTTGGAGTTCACAGGAGTGCTGTCTAGGAAAAGAAGAGGTCGACAACCTTGTTGGAATCCAGATATCGAGGCATGGAATGAGAAAAATAGACGATGGAAGCTTGAGTCATCCTTTGTGGTAAATGTTGCGATACTGCCGGGATTAGTCTCCTTTATCTTCTCACAGAAATATGGTATCAGAGCATATGCCTCTTTGAAGGAGCCCTGAAGCTGCTCCTTGGCAATTTTCTTTGCCCGCCTTGCCTGAGAATAATTAAGTTGAACCCCATATTCTCGCTTGATGTCGTCTGCAATATCTTTGGGCTTGTAGTTTGGGGTAGTTTTCAGTTTCTCCTTTATAATACTTCCTACCCAACCCCTTGTTGACCGATGCCCAGCTTTTGCAGTGGCTCCTTCACATGTATGCTTTGGGTTCATTTTCTTGATAGACACCAACTGAGTAGTTGCCAATCTTGATGCATATATCCGCCAAGGACAGCCCTGAGCCTTGCATATGACAGTCACACGACGACTGTCATTTTTTTTATATCTGTATGCAAACCCATGTGCAATTGAGTACTTATGAAGAGCTTCTCGGAATTCATTAATGCTACCAAACCTTTGGTCAACACCAGTGATGGTGTTCTCCCACTGTTGTGCAGCCTGTTTCTCATCCAATCTATTAAGTGGAGTGCACATTATAGGGGTCTCATTTTGCAAGTATACATCACCCTGGTCAATTCCATTAGCCATGGGAACATCAACAGGAGCAGGGACAGGATCTGCATCTTCTGCCACATTTCTTCTGCTTGACCTGCAAAATTAAGAGTTCAATAGGAATTACAACCCAGCACTAATAAACATACTTAATAATACCACAGCCCATCAAAATGCACAGCTTGGTACACAGAGGCACATTGAACAAGTTGATGACCAAGAAATACAAAGAAAAACTTGGTTTTACATAATGACAAGTGTAAGACTTGACCTCTGTGGCACAGGCCAGGCTGCTACAACAGTGGCTCAAAATTAACAGAATCTAAGATAAGACACTACACATAAAATGTAACTACCTCCTAGCAGGCATGTTGGGGGTGTTCCGAGCAGCAGCTTCCTCTGACATGATGTAAACATCTACGGTCCCGGAATCACCTACAAAGTTAATCATCCGCTGCAAGTCCTTGTCCTTAGAGATGGTGATAGGTGTCTTTTTGTTGCTAGGAAGAAAGTACTTAACAACCATCTTGGGCTTACTACAATTGAACATCTCTGCTACTTCAGACTTGAAATCATTCAATTTTGTTTGCTCATCAATGTCTATTGCATAAGCCTCGCCGCCATTATAGGACAATGAACCATCTTTATTGGTGACAAACTCACCCCCTGACTGACATATTGCTATAACTTTCTTTGCAGCCATGTTCAACGGCCTAGCCAGACAACAAAATTCAATTGCAAACTAACTAAATACCATGGGAAAATTCAAGAAACAAAACAGAAAATCAGAACTTCCTGCATGTCAAAACAGCATAAAAAGATCCCAATACGGATCTCGATCTAGTTAACGAGAAAAACAATCGCGTTTCTCCGATATGATTCAGAAACCCTAAAAACGAAAGGGATCCATCGAGACTAACAAAAACAGAAGAAATTCGAAGGTAAAGATGGTACCTTTTCTAATGAGTACGAAAGGAAAACACGAAATTTTTCAAGTTGAGCCGCGATGAGAGGAGTAGGCGGTGGTGGTTGGCTGCCGGCGCTTCCACTCGCATCCGGAGAACGGAGGAAAACCGTACCGTATCGCTAATTTGACCAATTGTTACTTGGCCCTTCGGCTTTATTTGTCTGACGGTCTGGAGTTCTCTTATCAAGGAAAAACCCTAATTTAGTCATTGTACTTCTTATGTGAGCAATGAAGTCCTCAAATTCGCTTTGACTTTGTTTTTGGTCAATTAAATACTAGTACTAATCAATTAATTAACGAATCAAACGACAAAAATTAAATCTGAAATTGCAGATTTAATGAAAACTAACAATAATTTGGATTATAAAATTTTTTATAACAATTAAGTGATATTAAATTTAATTTCAATGCGCAACATTGTAAATAATTTTTTATACAACACTAACTGTTTTTCTTCTTCTTCTTTTTTTTCCTTGGAAAAAATGCCAAAATAAATTAAAAAATCTAAAAATAAAGTAAACACCTAATTCCACTGCTCAAGTCTAACCAAAGGTAGAACACTACCTAACGTTTAGGTATGGTGTAGGCACACTTTTTGTAACACTGTTTGTGTTTTATACTAAATTTTTTTTATTAATTTAATTAAAGATCCGTCATCCAAGTTGAATTAAGAAATTTATAAAGATTTAACATCTCATTAATTCATACAAAATTGAATATTAATTAACAAAATGAGAAGTAGACTCCTTATCAATTAGTTTATAACCCTTAGACTATTAGATTGATAATGACAATGATTATAAAAAGTGTTTCATTTATTTTTACGATACAACAAAACAGAGTTATTATTATTATTATTATTTTAGAATTTCTTTTAAAATGTCCAATAAAGATCAATCTCTTCATATCTTTAATTCATTTTACTTGCATGTAATGTATATTGACTTAGGTTATTGGCTTTTTAAAATATAAGTTAGGTGAAATGTGTAAGAGTTTCATTTATTTTTACGATACAACAAAACAGAGTTATTATTATTATTATTATTATTTTAGATTTTTTTTTAAAATGTTCAATAAAAGTCAATCTCTT